CACTATTCTAAAAATAATGGTAAAGAAATTGTGTATTATTAATTGTTTTCTCAATTAGTTTAAGTCATTCATATGTTTCTGTTATATTTAATATTACATCTCATACTCACAATTTTTCTATTGTTAAAATTTTTAATTTTTTTTTTGGTTTTTTAACTTCTATTTTATTTATCACATTACTTTGTTACTTAATGATATAATTTGTGTTCTAAATTATTAATTAATTACTCTCTATCTCTAACACAATCTATTATAGCTTAAAAGAGGTAGATAATCATGTAAACTAACTTGATGTTTTTGTATTCTATGTAATTTATGATAGTTTTTAAATATAAAATTATTTGGACTCTACGCCACTCACTCATAAACTTAAAAATTTTAAGAAAATTATTGAAAATAGCTTATTCCCTCACACTTAGTAAGACGGCACGAAATCACCTTAACAAAAGCCAGAATGCGACATTCTCTGTTAACACTAGCATACCAAATAAATAAGGATCCTCCTACCCAATGCGATAATTGCCAAGTCGACCTAACTATAACCAACTTACTTAATCCAACATATAGGGTGTTCCAGCATGAAAAGTAAGTAATAGGTGATTGGGCATCTAGAGGACCCCAAATAAGCCCCCCATTTTCATTTTTTCGATAAGTCAAAAATTGAAGGTTTCGGCAATTAAGTAAAAAAACAATGACTTAAGAAAAAAAAATTACGCCCTGTTATTCAGTGCTAAAGCTCACCTTAAAAGAGGGGTCACATCATTTTCAGTCTATTTCGGCTTCTAACTCAACAAATGATAAGAGAAAAATGATTAGAGACCAGAAATAAATGATAAGTGATAAAAGACAAATGCTAAGACATAATTGATAAGAGATAAAAGAAAAGAGATAATTGGTAAGAGATAAATTATGAGAGATTAAAGATAAATGATAAGAGATTAGGGATAAATGATTAGAAACAAGAGATGAGAAATAAATGATAAAATATAAGTGATAGGAGACAAATGATTAGAGACTAGAGGTAAGAAATAAATGATAGGATAAGTGATAAGAGAAGATATTAGGGGCTGAAAAAGACTGAAATTGATGTGACCCCTCTTCTAAGGTGAACATTTTGCACTGAATAACATGAATTAATTTTTTGGTTTTTTAGGTCATTATTTTTTTACTTGACTGTCAAAACCTTCAATTTTTGACTTATCGAAAAAATGAAAACGGGGGGCTTATTTGGGGATCTCCCAGATTTTCAATCACCTATTACCTACCTTTCATGCTGGAACACCCTGTATAATCCAGGACAGCTCAAAGCATCTAGACAAATGAAAAACCATATATATGCCGATCATTTTCGAAGGAGCCTTAAATGAAGAGAACAGCACTAAAAAAAAAATGTTTTTTAACTAAAATAAACATTGCAGTTAGCCTCTAAGAACTTTACCTTTTGTCCTTTTGTAAAGAACTTAATATCACTTAGTCCTTGAGTCTACAAACGTATAATTGGCTAATAACCGCAGTTGTTGAAGCCTTGACATAAATAAAACATACCGGTTGTACTTAACAAATAAAAAAAATAAAAATATGCCCAACAATGAAAAAACCCGAAATGGTTATGCAAACTTTAAAACAAATAACGTGTGATTATTTAGAGTTCAATTAAACGAATAAAATATGTATACGCATTAACTTCCGTATAAAAATGTATTACAATGCAGTAAATGAGTTGACTTGAAAGCCTCAATGCCCAAAATAGACAATAATTTATTCCAAAGGCATTTCAATGACTTTCATATTTATTGTACACAATCTAATTTGTCAATCCTACGGATTTTAAATGTGTTTTTTTTTCCTAAAGAAAAATATCAGATTTTTAATTTTAGATCCTACCATTACATAAGAACCAAACCACATTAAGCGAGACACAGAAACATCGTGTCCTTACATTGTTTCAAGTGAGTTATAGCTTTTTGAGGGCGTTTGTAATACAATAACAAGTAATTGAGTTTTTGATTTCGGGTATTTAAGTGTTAAATGAATTTGAGTACTTTTGTTAGACAATGGTCTCATTGTATATTGACAAATATAAACATTCTAATATTGTTATAAATTTCTATTTACCTAACAAACATTATAGTTCATATGATACGTTAAAAAATACATATGTTTATTTATTAAATAGTACAAAACAGGCAAAACCCAAGACGTCCAATAGTTAAATTTAGTGTCAGTTGTATTATAATTACAATGTATAATTACTTAACCCTACACTGCATGATTTTGTATTTACACCACATGACAACAGACAAGGTTTCAAAATAAATAGTCAAAAAAAACTTTGTTGTTTAGAAATTATTAAGTACACAATATTACAATTAGACTATAAAGAAACCATCTTGCGTTATTTCTCATTATTACATAAGCAATATGCAAAATATCAAATATTCATTAATCACGTGTAGTGTCGTTTAAAATTAAAATTACATTTGCTGAAAATACATTTTCTTTTATAATATTATAGAATAAATACAGTTTATGGAAGAGATGCAATTATCAAGCTGATTTTTTTTTTTTTTTGGTGAAATTTCAATGTAAATTTATTTGCGCTTTAAAAAAACAGTTATTATTGCTCTTCACTGTTTTTATTTTTATAAATAATTTGTTGTTGCATTTTTTTAGATGCGGTAGCCTCCCTAAGTTATAATTGTATTAACATTAACAAACAAAATAATAAATAAAGTTTATCGAGTAAACAAAGTCGAATAATACAATTTTAACCATATCATTGTTTTTACAATGACTTGGATTGATTTATTCAGTTATGCTTCGCCCTTACTAGACCACGACCCAATTATGCTGGCATAATTATTTCACAGAACTTATGAACGTACTCATAAATAATACCTATTGAAAATTGAATACTAGTGGGAAAGCATATAATATGATAGTATAAAATGTAAGAATAATTATAAACCTAGTTAGTCGTCGTGTATAGTTGCTTTGAATTTATTTTAGAAAATTAGAATCTTAAGTTTTCGTCGTAAAAAAAATGGGATTAAATGAAATGGTTTTGTCTCGGCAGGTAAATAACTATCAACTTAACATTACAATTATTATGACTAGGATTTTAAGCAAAAAGAAAATCCTCATATATTTTTAAATCATTTTTATTGTTAAAATGATTACACTAAAATTATACTAACTTCTTCAGATTCCTCTAAATTGTCTATTATCTAATATCTAAAATTAAAAAGTTTATAGCGACATTCGTAAAATGATCGTTTTTTTTATTATAATTTCCAAATTTTGGATAGTGTAAGATAAAATAATCGTCATTAACCTAACCTAACCCTAAACGTACCTTATGACTAAAATAAAAACATTTTTTGATCAATACATTTTTAAACATATACATATTATTATGAATTCCTATTTCCCAAACTTCCACTAAGGTTCCACTGAAAATCCCAAATTGAAAATTTCATAATATGCGTATCGCTGACATTCAATAAAAAAAAAAAAAGAATTTCCATAAATGTATTATTTTGTCATAAAAAATTGATGTGTTCTTACAAAACGGTAACCCAAAATATAAAAGATTAAAGCCCATATTTGAGTTTAATACAAATGGCATATGACTATCATTATCTGTTTAAAAAAAGTTAGTTGAATATTGTGTGAGGATTATGTTACTAATTATTGTATGTAGAAACTTAAATTTTGGCATATGGACTAAGCCGTTTGTTTGTTAAAATGTATTATAACCGGCTTAAGTCATAATTACCAAATATTTTAATAAACAGTAGGTGATATTTATAATGTGATTTATGAATATGACAATTTCCTCATGTTTTTAAAAACCATTTCAACTTTAACTATCCATTGAAATGAGTGAATGCTAGTGTATTAGCTAATTAGCTACTGTAGTATATACATATTTTGGTAAAGTTAATCGGATTTTTTTTAACAATGTTATGCGTACATATTATCGTTTAGTTATAGCACTAAATTATATGTAACGAAAATAATACCATGATAAGTAAAACTACTAATTAATGGACACGATTTTTTCAGGTCTCAGACATAATAAATGAAACAAGCCTGAATAACATTGTCGTTATACTTATAACGGTAATATTATTTTTAGTAGTTCTTTATTTTAAAATAGTAAACCGAAGAAAGACAACATTAGCAAATCGAATACCAGGTCGAGATGGATTCTTTTTGGTGGGAATGTTACCTATAATTTTTGGAGGACCTGAAAAGCTATTGAAGAATATTTTAAAAGTTGGCAGAGAGTAATTACGCTTTACACAATCCTATTTGTTACATTTCATTAATCACAATATTTAGTACTTTGAGATCAACAATAATTTGTTTGTTGTAATTGTAATATAGATACGAGTACGCCTTATTCAAAGTGTGGCTTTTTAATGACTTATACATATTTCCCAAAAAACCTGAAGATGTAGAAGCGGTTCTAACTAATACTAATCTGTTCCAAAAATCTAAACATTATAATGTGTTAAGCGAATCAATTATGGGCGATGGAATATTTACAAACAGGAAGTTCCATGAATGGAAAATGAACAGGTGAACGTTTTTAGAAATATTATATATTTTTTTTTAATACAATTATAGAAAAACAAAACATAAAAAATAATATAGCGTCAATATGTATAACCAATTGAAAAATAAAATGGAAAATATTTAAACATAGAGTTACCTACTTTCAAACATTATATAAATTTGATATCATACTTATAGAAAATTGGTATCTTCGGGGTTTAAGTTTTCATTGCTTAAATCGTTTGTACCAATATTTTACGAGGAAGCAAAATTCTTAAGCCAGGTGTTGTGCGAGAAACGGGAAAATAATACAAATGAATGTGAAATAAGCTGGGCAATCGGTATGGCGACATTGGAAATGATCGGAAGAACCGCTTTGGGTGTAAAATTTAATGCACAGAAAAACGCCAAGCACGTATTTGTGGAGAATTTACATGTCATACTAAAGGTATACTTTCAATATTTAATGATTTCTGGAACGAATCTATGTTACAAGGCATACTTAATAACTCAAAAGTACTTTACCGATAATGTGATTGAGCTGACATCTCAGTCTTTTGTAATGAAGATTTGTTTTAGGTTTGGGAATACCAAATAGTACACCCGTGGTTAAGGAGCAAGATTCTCTTTCAGTTATCGTCGCTTAAACGCAAACATGACATTAGCCAGAGTAAAATTTACAATTTCATCGACAATTTAATCCAGAGAAAAAATACAGAGTTGAAAAATAATTTACACAGTCAAGATCAACATAACGAAGAGTGTATTGGCCTTAAATCGTTTATAGAGATAATGCTCGAGAATGAACATCAGATGCCATTAAACCAATTACGTGATGAAATAATTACTGTTATGGGTGGTACGTGTTTTTTTAAAAATATTATTTCGATAGAACTACTAGAATATTTATTATATTAATTAACATACTTATTAAAAGAGATAATTTTTTTACATTTTTTTTTTTTATACATGGTATTAGGAGGTCAAGACACAACAGCTATGACGAACGCATGTACAATATTTATGTTGGCTCATCATCAGGATGTACAAAATAAAGTAACCCATATTTTGTATTCATATATAAATTTTAAAATTACACATTATAGGTATTCTTGATAACGAAAAAATTGTATTTTTTTTTTCTTGCCTAATAATAGGTGTTGGAAGAGTTATTGACAATATTTTCTTCTGGCGATCCCGATCGACAACCTACCTATGATGATTTACAAAAGATGGAATACTTGGAACGTGTAATCAAAGAAACTATGCGACATTTCCCCCCCCTTCCATTATTTGGCAGAAACGTAGAAAAGGAAACAACGATTGGAGGCTATTTAATCCCTGCAGGTACGGCCATAGATATATTTGTTTGATAATTAGGCACATTTGATGCTTAAAATAACTAAGTAAAGTAATTTTTTAAAATATCTGCAGGGTCAACGTTCGCAATTTTCCCTGCTCTGTTACACTTTAATGCGCAAATCTATCCCGATCCGGAGAAATTCAACCCGGACAACTTCTTGCCCGAAGCATGTCGCAGTCGCCATCCGTATTCGTTTCTTCCTTTTAGTGCTGGTTACAGGAATTGCCCCGGTTACAAATATGCAATGCTTCAAATGAAAACAGTCATCTCAACACTGGTCCGGTCTTATCGTTTTCATCCGTCGGATAAGTGTCCTAAACCAGAAAATCTTCGTATCATGTTTTCAACGACACTAAAGTTTGTCGACGGGTGTTACGTTAAAATAGAAGCGAGACCGTAATCAATTATTGAAGCAGATTTTAGAACCAAAATTATTTACACATTTATATTGTACTTTTCGGATATTTTGTAATGATATTAGTTAGGGTTTAGTTATTTTTTAGAATTTAGTTATTTCGGTTATGGTTATTATTTTGGCTTACCAATTTGTCGGTGTTGTCTCGTTTTACTAAATATTTTCTGTAAACTTTTTAAGTTACCTAAACGCATATTCTCTCGGTTTTAGACATCATTAATGTGTAAGTGTATTATATTCTTCATATCGATGTCTTTATTTTTAGTTTTTGGACTATTCTTTTTTTTTTCAAAATGAGATACTCTGTAATAAAGAATGGAAAGAGATTTTTTTGCCAATAACGTGATTAGTAAAATAGTTAATTTAAATAACTGCTAAAAGCATTAAAACATATGTCAATAAAACTGTCATCTAAACACTGTTTAGGTCTTATCGTTTTAATCCGTCGGATAAGTGTCCTAAACCAGAAAATCTTTGTGTAATGTTTTCAACGACACTAAAGTTTGTCGACGGGTTTTACGTTAAAATAGAAGCAAGACCGTAATCAATAATTGAAGCAAGGTTTTGAATTGTGTTATTTTAATTTAATGTAATCATATTAAATAGGGTTTCGTTATTTTTTATGTCGAATATGTAATTAGTAAAACCATTGTTATAAATAAAAACATTAAAAAATATGTTAAGAAAAAGTTAAAACGGTTCTTTGTAAAATTGTAATTTTTTACTCGTTACATTTTTGAATCGATATGAGGTTAAATTAGAGTGTTATTATTTTAGCCATTCAAGAAAAAACATTATACTATTTTATTATTATCATATTAAACAAATTATTTAATCAATTTCTATTTAAAATATGTAAACAATTCCAGTGAGACTTAGTAGGACTTAAAAATGAAAAAAAGATATCTTTTCGTGGAGTCCTTTCTTGGATCCATATATTTATGAAAAAATTCACTTTAGAACAATATATTGTTGTATTTCAAAACCATATTATACTCATATCAGTGTGTTATTATAAAATAAATTACTAATCTAATAGTTATTTTTCAACTATAATCAGCAAAGCACAATTAACGGATGGTAAGCAATTTATCTTGGTAAAAACGGAATAATAAAAAAAAATGTAAAAACTCTTTTACCCTCAAGGATGAAATATTTTTCTGCATTTATTACAAAATTTCGAAACACATAACATTGATTATAGCGACCATATAAAAATAAATTGAAAATATAATTTTACTTTACTCCTGTAATATTTTATAAAAATGTCTTATACCTATCTTTTTGGTGCTCATTTATACACCATACACTATGATTTTATAACATAAACTGACATAGTTCTGTTTTATTTCGCTTTATTCTTATTTGTCCTAAAATGTAAATTATGAATATGACAATTTGCCCATGTTTTTAAAAACCATTTCAACTTCGATCAATTCTATTTATTGGGGCTATTACTTGTTTTATTACTTCAGGGAACTTAAACACTAAAGATTAATTTATTAAAAATTAGCAGAAGGTAATTACGCCTATCTATCACATTTTATTACTCTTTTCGTATTCTCAATTTCTAGTAATTTAAGAGAAACAATAATATGTTCGTTGTCTTTGTAATACAGATACGAGAATACCAGATTAGCTACACTATAGTCTATACATATTTTAGTAAAGATAATCTGAATTTTTTTTTTCAATGTTATGCGTACATATTATCTTTTAGTTATAGCATAATTGTAAAATAAAATATTAATAGTTAAACATTTTAACTTCAATCCAGGGCTGACAAGGTGTTATTTTTTTACATTGGTATTGATAATTATCTAATTTATTAAATTTAAATGTTTGTATTAACTTCGTAAAAACAAATATTTTTCCATTTTTTATCTCTTAACCTTTTTTTACTGCACTGTTATTTTAATAGTTATCAGTATAATTTGAAAAAAACCAACTTATCATATTGATATAGAATAAAGAATAAACAACTTAGTTTTTGATATATGAATATTTTAGCTTCGATGCAGAGCTGAGAAGATATTGTTTTTACATTGATGTTTTTAATTAGTTTTCGTATTTGTGTCTGGGCCCATGGATCACCTAAACCGCTTACTTTAGATAGTGTAACAAAAATAATCGTCATTATCCTTACCTAACCTAACCCAAAATGTCTCTATCTTATTACTAAAATAAAAACATTTTTAAGATCTATAAACCATTTGTAAACATTTATATATTATGAATTCCCATTTCCGAAACTTCCACTACGGTTCAACTGATAAATCCCAAATCGAAAAGTTCATAATATGCGTATCGTTCACATTTAATAAAAAGAAGAAAAAAATAACAGTTTCCATGAGTGTTTCCATATCATTTTTACATAAGTATATATTAATAATTTCAAAACAAAACGTGATCTGGTTTCCAATAAGTCTCAACCACAATGTGCTAGTCTTGTATTTTGCAAATGAGCAGTTTACTTTAATGTCTTGAAAATATACTTACCAATTACCAAACGGTAGGCCGAAATTTAAAAACCTAAAACATATAAAACATTAATTGGGGTTAAATAAGCCATTACAGTGGGGTCGGGACATAGTGGGGGCATTGGAAAGTGACAGATTTACAGGCATTATTATAACTGAAAGTGTTAATTTTTATTAGTAAATAAACGCTTCGATGCGAATCAGAAGTATTTTTTTTATAACAGTTCCGTCCAAACCAGTCAAAGTATAAAGCAGCAAAGTAAAAAAATATTAAAGTGAGGTACGGTGTTAAAAAACTAGCATCAATATGTTTGTTTGAAAGTAATTTTATCACATTCAGTTGTAATAATTCCTGTTAACCTGAGACCTCCCCGTCCCCGTTATGCCGTGACCCTATTATACTGACTTTTTTTGGGAAAAAAACAAAAGATAATTATCATGACTAATTTAATACTGTTTACTATTGCACATATGGCTGAACAAATGTCTGCAACATGTGTAAGACTATTACTTCTGAAGATTGCTTGCATATTAGAGATAATAACAATATTCGCTTTATCTTTTTTTACTGTGGTAGACTGCAATTCTACCGGCATGAACCGCTTCTCGTTCAAAATGATTGATACAATTTAAATTTGTTAATTTTAATTGTTAACTGTTATTCATCAAAGACTCAATGTTAGAGTTTTAATTTTTTTCAGGTAGATTTCCTATTTAAAGTACACAATACAACGAAAATACGTTTCTAATACGTAATAAATGTTTAAAAAAAAAATTTTAAAATCTCTAATAAGTTTTTAATTTTTTCTTTTTTTTTTTGGTTTGTCAACGTGTATTGAATGTACTGCATCTAAAAATTATTTCATTTACCCATGTAATATAGTTCAAAAAATGCATACATACTTGTTATAATTATATTAAAGTACACAATATTACAATTACACTATAAAGAAACCAACGTGCGTTATTTCGCATTATTACCAAAGCAATATGCATAATATAAAATATTCTTTAATTGAGTGTAGTGTATTTTAAAATTCAAATTACACTTTCCGACATTATTACTATTGTGTTTTCATTAATTTCCTTTATAATAATTATAGAATAAATACAGTTTATGGAAGAGATGCAATTATCAAGCTAATTTTTTTTCTGGTGAATTTTTTTATTGTGTTAAAAACAATAACTTAATAAAAAAAAATAAAACATACCGGTTGTGCTTAACAAATAAAAATAAACAAATATGCCTAACAATGAAAAAAACCGAAATTATTATGCAAACTTTAAAACAAATGACGTGGGATTATTTAGAGTCCAATTAAAACGAATAAAATATGTATACGCATTAACTTCCGTATAAAAATGTATTACAATGCAGTAAACGAGTTGACTTGAAAGCCTCAATGCCCGAAATAGACAATAATTTATTCCAAAGGCATTTCAATGACTTTCATATTTATTGTACACAATCTAATTTGTCAATCCTACGGATTTTAAATGCGTTTATTTTTTCTAAAGAAAAATATCAGTTTTTTAATTTTAGATCCTACCATTAGATAAGAACCAAACCACATTAAGCGAGACACAGAAACATCATGTCAATAACCATTTGTAAAGATTAAATAAAAAAAAAAACGGAACTTTATATCAAATATACAAAATGATACTTTTACATGTGTTCATTCGTCGATTTCTTTTAAATTGAAATTCTTGTTTAATTTCTAATGCCTTATAGTCTAAGTACAATAGGTGTTCATGACTATAACTTTAAGAGTAGCAAAATCAGGAAAATAATATATTTTATGGACGATTAAAAATGTCAGTACAGTTTGCATCAGAACAATAAGCTAGGGAGGCATGCAAAATAATTATTAATCATTAATTTTTACTATACATAGGTCATGCATCGTACATATAATAAACATAAATAAATACATACAAAAAACTTTTTTTATAAAAATATACTCGTACTAATATTTTGCAACAAATAAAATGAAATTTTTTTTAAGCCTTAGATAGTCGTGAATAAGTTTAATTAATACTTGGCCTTGAGTTCAAATTAATATTGTGTTGTCGCCTAGTGTATTACCCATGATTAGCTTCGTTGTGGTGTACAAAATTATATTGTGTAATTCATTTTTTTAATTGTGTTGTTATAAAAATTTGAAAAACTATGTTACTTTTTTGAAATATATATAACAAATAGTGTATGTAGCTATGAGAGTATAGTTTGTAAGTTTTAATGTCCTTACATTGTTGTATATTGTGTCAAGTGAGTTATGGCTTTTTGAGGGCGTTTGAAATACAGTAACAAGTAGTTAAGTTTTTGATTTCGGGTATTTAAGTGTTAAATGAATTTGAATACTTTTGTTAGACAATGGTCTCATTGTATATTGACAAATATAAAGATTCTAATATTGTTATAAATTTATATTTACCTAACAAAAATTATAATATGTAAATTTATTTGCGCTTTAAAAAACAGTTATTATTGCTCTTCACTGTTTTTATTTTTATAAATAATTTGTTGTTACATTTTTTTAGATACGGTAGCTTCCTTAAGTTATAATTGTATTAACATTAACAAACAAAATAATAAATAAAGTTTATCGGGTACACAAAGTCGAACAATAGAATTTTAACCATATTATTGTTTTTACAATGACTTGGATTGATTTATTCAGTTATGCTTCGCCCTTACTAGACCACGACCCAATTATGCTGGCATAATTGGGTCGTGCACACTAATAAATACTTAAAAAGTATTGTTTTCAAACATGTAATGACATCATTGAATACTCAAAAGTGTATATAAATCAATAATTCAACTATTTACTAGCATCATTTATGTCTGTATTATTATTTTAAATGTATAAAATTTACTAAAAAATTTAACGTAATATATTGCACTAAAAATATAAAATAGTAGCTTATAATATATATATTACAATACTATTTGTATGCAAATTTTGAGTTTTAATTTAAGAGATAATTTTTTAGTTTTGATGTGAGTAGCCCAGGTTAGTCGCTTGTCAAGATGAATGCCTAAGTATTTAACAGAGTTTTCTGTTGGGATTATATTATTGTTAAGAGTTAATGGAGGACTAACTTTAAGTCCTAAAGTGAATGTAATATCTAATGATTTATTTTCATTTACTTTAATTTTCCACTGGTTAAACCAGGTTTCTAGCCCGTTAAGA